CTCTCTCTCTCTCCCACGCCCACGCTCCCCCCTCGGCAGATGGGCAGTCGCTACCAGCGGTCCGTGCCCCTGCCGGTCAGGAGAGCAGAGGGACAGAGGATCAGAGAAAAACACCCGGACAAAATACCGGTGAGTCTGTCCGTCTTGTCTGTCAGCGCTGCCTTTCTGCCGATCCGTACCGACGAGCGCGGGTATTGTCTGCACAGCCCGGTGCTTTGAGCGAGATTTGATCTGGGTGACAGATCCTGCTCCTCTACAGCAGCAGCGTTCCTCGGGGGCTCTGAACCCGCAACCCCCCATCACACCTGCGCACGTCAGTGCCTGTGCAGCATCCTGCTTTTGCCAGATTTCTCTAGGGGTGTTACAGGCCCAATTGCCCCCTGGCCTTTACCCATCATGGCCTCCTAATAATCCCCATCTCTGAACTGGCTCCATCGCCCTGCTCTCCTCCCCACTGAGAGCTGGTGTGTGGGGAGAGGACTGGAGCATCATGCAGGTGGGGTGACACATTGGTGGCAGCAGTGGGATTCCCCATGAGCTGGAAAGGGAATGATTCGTTATTCTGTGTCCTTTCCCTGCGGCGCTTGTTGCGGGTGATGGGCGTTGGCCCGTGGGTAACGGCGCGCCAATGGTGCCTTTGCAGATCATCGTGGAGCGAGTGGCCAGGGCGCGGGTTCCCGATCTGCAGAAGAAGAAATACCTCGTCCCCAGCGACTTGACAGGTAGACCAGGAGGGAGGGCGGGGGGGGGCGGGGGTTTAACAAGGGAAAGAGGCCCCAGCAGCCTCCTGTCCCGCGACAGCCGGCCCACCCCCTGTCCGTCTCTCCCGCAGTGGGGCAGTTCTGCTTCCTGATCCGGCAGCGGATCTCCCTGCGGCCGGAGGAGGCGCTGTTCTTCTTCGTCGACAACGCCCTGCCCCCCTCCGGCGCCACGCTGGCCCAGATCTACCAGGTCAGTCCGCTCCCGGGTCGGTCCGACGTCCCGACAGCTCTCTCTCCGCCACGCTGGGCAGGTGTGAGCCTGCTCACTGCCTGGATGGGAGGTCAACTAAGGCTGCTGCTGGAAGAGGTGTGAGTGGGGCCAGCAGGGGGCGCTCAACCTGCGGTCCATGTGGGTCCTAATGCCCCAGTATAGTGACGGGGACACTATACTGTAAACAGGCGCCGTCCTTCGGATGAGA